GTGAGAATAGCAGCACAACTGGAAGAATGTAATCGATGTCACTGAGTTGTACATGTAGAAACTTTCGAAATGGTGTAACTTTGGCTATGTATATTTTCACCAAGAAAAAGGTCCTCTGAGGTCGAGAAGGGAGAGTGTTGACATGCTGTGGGGTTGTTAAACAATGTCATAAAACAATTTGTGTACTGACTATTTAATGAGAAACCATTTGTTCTGTAAATCTTCATCTAAATTACAATAAAAAAAATTGTGATCAATATAATCTTGTATAACATGCATCCACTTGAATAAGCACAGGAAAGACACAGAAAGAAACGCATACAGTTGTTTAGGGAAATATTATAGCCCATAGGTTACACGGACAGGACGTTTTGCTCTTTTACACATAAGGTTGCTATCAGTCAGAGCCAACTCGAACACAGCTAACAACAACAACAAAGGTTATACAGAAGTTGCAGGAATGGGTTTCCCAGTGAACTGGCCTGGGTTTAAAGCAACACTCTGCCGCACCCTAGCTGGGTGACTATGGACAGTCCCACCCTCCAAAACTCAGTTTCCTCATGGGTAAAATGGGGGTAATAGCACCCACCTCTGTTTTTCTCATACACTCTTTTGAACAATCCACAGTAACATACAATTTACATTGTGACTCAGTACAAACACAAACACATATTTAACTGATGCAAACGTTTCAGAAAACAATGCTCACTCTAAGCTTGTGAACTCTGATACTTGCTATTTTACTTCATTTAAAAAAAAAAACCTCTCAGTACCAATCTGCACCTTGAAAAACCCTGACCTACCTCATGGGGTAACATCTATCACCTCAAATGTCACTTAATAAAAGACAAATATTTTTATTTAGGTGGCAGAAGTATTTTTAAATTTCATTTAATATATTAACATATTTGTTCTTTTTAAAAGTTTCAGCTAAACATCAGTTTCCACTCAGTTACTCAACAAATATTTATAAAGATCTGTTTTAGCCAAGGCACTGTGCTAAGGGCAAATAAGAGTAAGACAGTTTCTCACTCATCAAAGAGTTTAAAATCTCAAGAGGGAACCTAGGCGCCTACACATTTCACCACAAGAAAACCCAGTCGCATGCCATGAACTAAGCGTTCAGAGGCAGGGCTCCACATTACAAAACTCCAGGAGGAAGCATCTGCAGAGAAGACAATGGAGCATTCTGGAACACGGCTTGTTTCATTCTACATAAATGGCACCCCTGCCCCATGATACAAATCAGGGCACAGTCACAATGCTGGTGGTAGGAGAGGCCTTTTGAAGGATCAGAAGGATCAGATGTGCAGTTATTGGGGGAAACCAGCATTCTAGGGGAGCCTAGAACAAGCAAAGGGACGGAGGCAGAAGCTTATGAGAAAAGATCACCAGCAAGTGTAAACTCTGGAGTTTGACAGATGTCCACTGTACAATGTTGGAAATGGCGGGAGATGCCTGTAGGAAAGGCAGGGAGAACCTAGATCACACAGGCTAAAATTTCCAGGACAAAACGTGCTCAGGAAGACAGATGTGTGTAGGATCAACTAGATGAAAGAAGATGAACTAAAGAGAGAAAAAGGCAACAAATATGCATTGAACCCACCAATTTCACTCCGAGGCACATACCCAGAAGACTTGAAAGCAGGGACTCAAACAGTCACTTGTACACCAATATTCACTGCAGCACTATTTACCACAGCCAAAAGGTGGAAACAGCCCAAGTTTCTACCAACAGATGAATGCATAAACAAAATGTGGTCTATACATACCATGGAATATTACTCAGCCATAAAGAGAAACTAAGTCCTGAAAATGTGCCACAACATGAATGAACATTATGCTGAGTGAAAAGAACATAAAAGGACAAATACTGTATGATCCCACTTATATGGAATATTTAGAATAGGCAAATGCATAGAAACCAAAATTTATTAGTGATTACCAGGGGCATGTGGGAGGGAGAAATGGGGAGTACTGTTTAAGGGACACTGAGTTCCTGTTAGGGTGATGAAAAACTTAGAAACAGTGGTAACGGCTGCCCAACATGATGGTCATAATTAATGTCACTGAATTGTACACATAAAAAATGCTGAAGAAGACTGGGTCCAGCACAACTAGATGGTGCCCGGCTACCACCACTGACTGCTCTGACCAGGATCATAATAGAGGGTCCCAGACAGAGCTGTAAAAAAATGTAGAACAAAATTCTAACTCACAAAAAAAGGTCAGACTTACTGGCCTGACAGAGACTGGAGAAACCCCGAGACTATGGCCTCCGGATATCCTTTTAGCTCAGTAATGAAGTCACTCCCAAGGTTCACCATCCAGCCAAAAATTAGACAGCCCCATAAAACAAAACGAGACTAATGGGGCACAACAGTCCAGGGACAAGGACTAGAAGGCAGGAGGGGACAGGAAAACTGGTAATAGGGAACCCAAGGTTGAGAAGGGACAGTGTTGCCATGTCGTGGGGTTGTTAACCAATGTCATAAAACAATATGTGTACTAACTGTTTAATGAGAAACTATTTGTTTTGTAAACCTTCATCTAAATTACAATTAAAAAAATGTTTAAAAAAATGCTGAAGTGGCAGATGTTTTGTTTTATATATATATATTTTACCACAATTTTTAAAAACAAAAATGTATATATGTGAAACGTAAATGCAGTTTTTACATGATGGCTGGCCGGAAGGCTAACACAGCAGTCCAGGTAAAAGCCGGACACAGAGAATGATGAAAGGGACAGCATTACGACTGAGAAGTCAGGACGGGTTTGTCCAGTAACCAGAAACACAGGAGACAGGGCTGCAGCACAAGCAAGAAGAGTCAAACGTCAAATGTGGCATACTAAAATACAAATCGTCCTTTCCCCCACCCACAGCCTCAGAGGGGTGACCCTCCATATCACAGTCCCTAGATTCCCTGTCCACAGCGAACCGGCCAGCTGTGGACACCCAACCAAGTCAGGGCCCCCCCCCCCGGGATGTTCTCCTCTGGAATCCAGACTGGGAGTCCCGCAAGGCTGAGCTGAGCAGGGAGGACCTGGCTGAGAGGTCAGAGGACACCAGAGCTAAAGGCATAGGCTCAGGACAGGCAGAGGAAAGCAGCTGCAGAAACAGGAGAATGGCACAATCGCATGAAGAGAGCAAAGGATGAGAGGCCACAAGTCCCAGGAAAACCAGACACAGGAGCTGTCTGTATACTAGTCAGCTCCTATGGGGTCCAGCTCTACTACCCTCCACTGGGTTCCACGAGAATTTGCTCTCTCCTTTAAAAAAAAATCCCTTTTAATTTGAGCCAGTTAACTCATTCAACAAATATTTATTATGCATCTATTTTGTGCCAGGTGTTTTGCTAGGTACCACACAGAGTGAGTACCTCCCTTGCTGCTAATCAGATTCCCGAATAAGATGCTAGGTAAAAGAAGTCAAGAGGAAAAGCAAGTTTCGGTTTTTAATCATTTTGTGTGGAGGGGATTGTGAGGGAGTGGCAGAGAGATGACTTTGGTTCAGCCACGTTAAGTCAGAGGTTCTGGGGGGCCAATCAGATAGAGCCGTTTAACAGGCCCTAGCCATATAGAGCAAGTGCATAGAAGAGAGGGGTAGGACAGAAAACAGATGTGGGATAGCAACTAAGAGGGGCTCGCTGAAGGTGGTGCAGTGGATAAAGCCCCCCAGGAAGTGAATGTAGAAAAAGAAGAAAAGAGGACTAAAGGCACCACCCACAGCTAGGAAAAGGTAAGCAGATGACAAACCCGAAGGGCAACTCCCAGCTCAGGCATCCCTCCCTCCAGGAAGAACTCTCTGGAGCTCCACAATGAGACAAGCTGCTCCTACTCTGTGACCCGCTGCTCTGGGTACCAGCACCAGTTGCCATCAGGTTGAATCCAACTCACAGCGACCCCATGTGTGTCAGAGTAGAACAGTGCTCCATAGGGCTTTCAATGGCTGACTTCTCAGATGTAGATTGCCAGGCCTTTCTTCCAAGGTGCCTCCAGGAGGACTCAAACCTCCAACCCTTCAGTTAGCAGCCGAGTGTGTTAACTGTCTGCACCACCAAGGACCCAAGTGCTCTGGGTACCGCCTCTGCTATCTGAGTTGTCCCACATGGCTTACGTGGTCACCTGCTCCAGCTTGTATGCTCCTTGAGGGAAGGGGCATCTCAGGTTTACGGCTGTGTTCTCACCGCCTAGCACCTCACATGCTCATTGTTTGAATGAATGAAAGAGGAATACTTGGGGAAAAAAAAGACAGACAATATGTAAGAAGAACTAGGTGATGCTATGCCATAAAATACGAAGGAAGAAGAGAAACAGTCACTGCAAAAAAGAAAAGTAGGATAAAGTTGAAGATTAACAAAAATAATAGCCATGGGATTTGGCAAGCCAATGGAGCATGAACACCAATCCCAATTCAAAGTGGCAGCTATGGTGAGGATCCCACAGATTACTCAGGAAGTTTTAGACAAAGGGTTTAAAGATATATTTCAGGATTTGACAGGAGAAAGGGGATGTGTGTGGAAAATAAAGCATAAAACCTTCCCACATTTGCCCAACTTGCCTTCATAGCCACTGTCTGAACGAGTGGAAGATACAGATTCTTGCTTTACGCTGGCATAAAAGGTCACTTCTGGGTCAGCCGGATCATTTCCCAGTGACCCGCTGACTTTGTCTACACTCCAGTTCTCTGCCTGCTGCTGGCTCAGGATGTTACACTTCATTTTCTCCATTGCTGATATCATCATATCTGCAACATAAAAGTGGGCATTTTCCTGCAGGAAAGAAAAAAAACATCAGTAAAAATACAATCATAATCAAATTTTTTATACTGATGGTATATAAGCTTGAAAAATCAAGAATAAATATATATATAATATATATATTTTTTTTTTTTCCATTTAACTGAGTTATCATAGGTCATTATATGTCTTTTGGTCTACATCTCCCAGAAACTTAACATTTAGTTCAATGTAACCAGCAAACAACCCACGTGGACTTTGCCCAGTCTAGGGTTTTATATCACAAGGGACACATTCCCTTGCTGTGTGTCTGCATTAAAATGTTCTAATCCCTTAAATTGGGATAATTACCTCACAGAGCTATTAGGATTCTGAAGGAGATAAGGAATGTGGGAGCGCTATGTAAATGTGCAGATCTTAAGTAAACAAAAGGAACGGTGGTATTGTTTCTTACATCACCCATCAGTCATGGAAGACTTTCCAGCTGAGCACAGACACTGTCTTAGAGCCATTCCCAGCTAATGTTCCTGGCAGCCACTACCAATTAAACGCTGAAATGAAGTGAAACCTAATTGCGTGCCTCATTAAGGGGAACTTTCTAGATTTAAATCAGAACAATACTATCTAGGGGATTAAGAAACTCTTTGGTTAAACAAAATATGAAGATAACCTTTACCTTTTCTACATCGATGGGGAACAAAAATGCCTCTGGTAAGAAGGAATTCAAAGAAATGGTTCTTCTGTTGACTTGCACAGCACCTGTCAACACAGCAAGTTATCAAAAATGGAGAAAAGGAAGTTCAAAGGTTATGGGGGGGGGAATTCTAAAAAGCAGCTTCTAAATACAAAAGGAAAAAAAGAAGTAGGAAAAACTTATCACAATTATAGAACAAAGTAAAATAACAGAAGAAGAAAGATCCCTCTGGCGGTAGGGGTTCAGACAACTACACCAAGCAGATACTGCCTCAATGATGAGCATGCCTACAAAAGGCTACTGGAGAAATTTGTGAGGTATCTTCAGAGAAGGGATAGGAGAACAATAGGAGTGAAGGAGACTAAGGAGGCAAAGAAGGTAGAAAGAGAAGAAAAAAACAAACCCATTGCCACTGAGTTGATTCTGACCCATGGCAACCCCATGTGTGTCAGAGTAGAACTGTGCTCCCTAAGGTCTTCATGGCTGTGACCTTTTGGAAACAAACTGCCAGACCTTTCTTCCGAGGCACCTCTGGGGTGGGTTCGAACCACCGACTTTTTGGCTAGCAGATGAGTGCTTAACTATTTGTACCACCTAGAGAGTCTTAGAAAGAGAAGAAGATCACGGAGAATGCCTAAAGGAGATGGGGGAAGGAAGGTGAGAAGGAACAGTTCAGAAGCAAGGCCAAAAAGATTATGGGATCATTTTTTCAACTCACTGCAACTGACCAAAACTTCCTGTTTTAGAGAGACAAGGTCCTTCTGAAAAGGTCAGTATTGCTTCTCTAAAATGATCTTCCTCAAAGAAGAACAAACAGCAGAAGGTATATCCTTCTGACTCATGGGTTCCTACATCCTTAAACCACTCCATTACTGGCAATGAACACCACCAAAAGAAAAATGTGTCTGTCATGTGGTATCTTATTGGAGTATTTAGCAAAACATTTTTGTGAGTGCCATAAGAGCTGAGTTGTGCTCACCTGTAAAATTAGAACAGAATAGTACAGGTGCATGGATAGGCAGACTCAATATCGTGAAAATGACAATTCTACCCACAGCAATTTACAAATACAATGCAATCCTGATCCAAATACCAACAGCATTCTTCAAATAGATGGAAAAACTAATCATTAACTTTATATGGAAAGGGAAGAAGCCCCGAATAAGTAAAGCACTACTGAAGAAGAAGAA